TTTTATTAGCAAATCAAAAGGGTCAGTTACTTCTGGGACACCCTGTATATTATTAATTTCGTTTGAAAGTACGAACTTGTGACAAAGGATAATCTACTTGATAACTCGGAAAGGAAGGAGGGAGCCAGATAATCTCGTTTTAGAACGTGTGACAAAATTCAACCGAAATTGTTTATTGTTTAATATGCGTTTTGTATACTGCTTTTCTTTATCCGTTTTCTCGGTAGAATCCGAGTCTCTGGACTCGTTTTAGGGAATAAAAACACCTACATATACATAAAATATAGTTCTTGCTTCTGACTACTTATTTATGTTAAGTAACCAAAATAGTTTGCGTATATAGATTTCGTTTGGTAACGTGCTCTCAAACATGAGTCCTTTAACGACTGTAGCGAAGACATTAAAACCACTGGAATCGACAAATGTCCCTCATTATATTTGTAAATCAAACATATTAATCAAATAAGAAGCCCAATGTTGGATACTGCACGCACCCGAGCATGTCCTTTTCTGGTGGGCAACCATAATAGCTGCACATGGCGATGGGGATTAAAATTAGGTTATAAGGGAGGTAATAATCATTTATTGCGTCTTTTTCGATTCTCACACAGCTTTTATTAGTTTTTTTTACTTAATAATCATGCCATTGGCATTGGAGGCGCTGTCACAGATCAAAACGGTCTCGCCCAAATTTTGCTGGGTATTTCGCATACCGTGAGGATTGCTGAGACGTAGGTTAACGATTTTGTTAAGAAAAATTGATATGCAAAGATAAAACCTTCAAAGTCACTGTTCATTGCTGTTAGAACATACTGAAATATATGGCACAAAATTCCAGTTGCGAGGCAGAAGTGAAACTCTATGAAATGTTACAATATGCCTGGAAGACAAGGCATCTGTCTCATGTGGGGTCCGAAAAGATGTAGATATTTTATAACGCAGTGACTGGGGCAGAGGCCAAAAGAAACCTTAGAATTCCTTTTTTTAAGTTGGAAAAACGCAAATGGTTATCATAAAAGTTGAATCTTCATTATTTTTCATAGGAAAATGAGTAAGCATCTATACGATTTGTGTGAGTTCCCCCGGGACGAGATCCCAGAATCAAACGGACTACCGGAGCGAATGAATGCCAGTTTGAGATGTGTATAGGGGATGCTCCAAGCGGATGGGCAATGCCATTTCGTGGTAAGTGGCAACATCTATTCATCGAGCATCCTGATTCACAGCTTTGCGTCAATTTTTACAAAAGGGTATCACATGCTTCGATCCCTAGTAGAATCGTTCATCGTCCATGAGCCGGCCATACATTCTCTGAAATCATTTGATGGGTCGTTTCCGCGATATCTCACTGCCCACTAATTAACCACAGACACATTCAGTCCTTGTCATCCCCAAGCAAGAAAGGGTATCCGTCTGTTCAGGCTATGCCTCTTATTGCAAAATTCAATCATGATCGTCTATGTTTGGTTAATTTCAACATTGTCTTCCCGTAAAAAAATATTTGACTCTAGTTTCCACATTGAACGATCCACAATAATCACAGCTGGTCACTGCGCGATCGCGATACGGATGGCTGCGTGTTCATCCATGATAGATGATTCAGTGAACGTCGCAACCTAGTAATCAACTAGGAATGCCCTGGCTAAGGTGATAATTCAGCTGTTACTACAACCAATATCTTGCATATGCGCGTGTAGGAGAGTGCGTTCAGTGCCACTACAAGCGCATGGTGTGAAGGGAATGTATTAGGCTAACAACGTATTGGTGGCTGATTTGAAGGAATGTGTGCCGAGGTGCTAGACTTATCGACCTTTAACGTCCTCGTTCCCCTTTTCTTAACAGTCCCTTTTGTTTAAATCTCCTGGACACAACACTGAAGCTTGATCCCCGCGTGGCATGTACGGTTGCTCAGCAGGTTGTAATATTCGTTTAATTGACTTTACATACCTACCGGCTTTTGTTCTTCTGTTCATTGTTATACTGTTGGATCCTAGTATGGTGCAATTGACGATATACAAGTCGTAAGTAGTGACCAAAATGCCTCACGATAGATGCAGTAATGCACTCAAATCAAGAGGCGCTCTTTAGGGACGAGCTACCAGCTCAGAATAAAAAGCTTGAAGATGGTTTGGTCACTTGTGAAAA